CATTTAAAAATATCAATTATAAAAATAAAAACGTAAGTTTGAAAGTAAGTTCCGGGCAAACTCATTCGGTTGTTTTGAAACCCGTAAACGAGTAATACGCAAAATTTAGTAGTATCGTAAAAACAAACTTTTTACCCTATATATTATGTAGGAGCGCATTAGCGGGCACAAAAACCTTTATAATACAAACTCAGGTGTACTGTAATATAGTAAAACGCCTTAAAAATGTCACGAAATTTCGCTTTGTGTAGTGTTTATTCAGGTCCGCTGGCTGAACTTTTGTAACAGCTTTGTCTAATTATTCCGTGTGTTTACGAAACTTTAATTATTTAAAAAAGAGGATTAACAGTGCCCATGTAGACTAAATTTTGTATATAGAAACTGTATTGTAATGTCTAATGTCTCACACGTTTTTTAAGTATAACTGAATGCGTTACAAGAACTATATGGTTTACAAATCCTAGATATTTGTCATACAACTTGTCTCGAGTAAAGTTATGAAGTTTCAATCGAGCGAGGTCTATTGATCGTCAGAGAATTTATTCAAAAGCTTTGGACCATAAAATATATAACACTCAAAATGTAGGGGCAACTAGTTATAAAAGTTTTATCTAGATATTTAAATTAAAAATGAGCTGCAGCTAGATATTTAAATTAGAAGTGTAAGCTCTTAACAATTTCACAGTCATATATTTCAAATAGTTTTGTCGGTCTATATAACGTAAGAAGATATCCAAGTGTCTCTCGATTGCTATTTGGATATTCTTTTCCCAAATGACATAAAGATGCCAAAATTATCGGTGCAATTACACATAACATGAAATAGTAGAATCCACTTTTCATATAAAGAATTCCAGTTAAATAGATAGGAGTTAACAGAGCGTAAAGCGTTCATGTGCCACCCTCGCGTCGAATTTTTCCAAGTACATATTTCTATCCTGGAGATGACACTTCAATGGGTTTATGTAATAATAGGGATAAAGAACAAAGAAATGTATGCGAAAGGATATATTTTTTGGGTAAATCGGGGCTTTTTATACAGTTCCAGAACCTCAGTTCGATTCTCAACGGAACAGTAATTAGTTATATTTCAAGGCTCATAATAAATTCAAGTGTTAAGTGAAACATATTTACGAGATATATAAAATTCATAATATACTAAGCGCTTTTTACTAATATTCTATAGAGGATGTTGTATGTTTGTGACCAATAAACTCAAAAACTACTGGGCCGATTTCGAAAAATTCACAATAACAATGCTACATTATCGCTGAGTAATATATTCTATAAGTATTTCCAAAATCTTTAAAAAATGAATGTACAGCGCTACGAGCTAAAACAACCTTATTATTTATTATCATTAAGTCATACATCAGAGTAGATCCAGGTAGTGTTTACGCTGGTCAGAAATGTATTTGTCAATGATCCATAGACCCATACGGAGTTGTATTATTACTTTGGTTATATCACACAATCAGTTATTCCTTTAACAGAAGAAAAATATTACACCTTTTGTTCATTTCATTTTTCTCAGCACCTTCAACTCTAGTTTGACGATAACGCGATTTCAAAAGCCAATAAAACCACGTCGACTTTGAAAGGTATTAAAACACGATTGCAGGAAATACTGAAGCCTGATTTCTTGTATCGGAAACACGTTGAAGGAATAACCAAGTATGAATTATCAAAATCAACTTGCAAGTACTCTAAGACACATTTTTCAAATTAGAAATAGATAATATTAATATAAGGTATAATTGTGAAACATGGGTACTTTATTATCACTCTGTCCGTAACTTTATATAGGGAGAGTACTTAGACCACAAGACAACAATTATAAATAACTTAACTGTTATTATTATTAAGACATTATGATAATTAATATGACATTTGCAGACTTATTTTTATATGGCTGATTGTGCGGTTTTTGTACCACTTTCTGTGCAAACAAACGTTATATTATTATTTATCTAATTCAATTTATTATGATGTGACTTAGTTATTTATAAAATGCGAAAACTTTCAGTAATTTGTTTATTCGAAAGTGAACTTTTAAAAAATACGGAAATGCGTAATCCATCTATCACGTACGAGCGTGATAGATAAATTATATTGAAAAAGCTACAGTAGCGACACAGATAAATGATAGCATGACAGTTACTTACTATGCGGAACTTGTGTGTATATACGAAGTAAAAATCATTCCAGTATCTTTTTTCTGCAAAAATTATAAAAAGAATTTATTATTAAAATTTATTATTAAAATTTATTATACAATTTTTTTTTACCTTTAATGAAAAATCTGATAGACTACCGTTTTAGGTTCTATGTTTATATTGTTTCACATTTATCCGGCAACGAATTTAACTTTAAAGAAGAATTATCAACGGAGTGACCTACATTATGCATCCATTCTGGTATAATTTTTATTTTTCATTCTGTGACGTTTTCGAAATTTAACGCAAAAGTTTTATCGTGTATTTTAAGAAACGTTATTGATCCGATATCCGGATATTTTAATTATCCGTAAATTTAGATATTTCAAGTCTCATTACTTTACTTGATACCGTTTCTTAAAGATTCTTAAATATTAGGATCCAATGAGAACAATTTGCGTTAAAAAGTTGTCTCATATCCGAAGGTTAGTGTTCTTACAATGTCACTTCGTAGAGAAACAAGCTTCATGTCCTTTTTAATTTTCATGTTCATTTTCTAAGGTGGTTGAGTTACGCATCGTATTAGCTATAATAAATGGTGTATGCATCGGTTATTTTAGTTACCAATGCAAAATTAGCGCATATTTCTATAATTTGAGGCTGAATTGAAAAATGTCAATTACATTTATCCATTTTTAAAATAACACGACAGAAATTAAACAGCTGTTTGAGCTACATGAATAGATGTGTTAAAAAATGTCTAGCATTGAGTTGTTGCTTTGTTTTGTTTGTTTGTTTGAGGCTGGTGACGAAATTATAATATATCAGATACGACCTGTAATTTTTAACTGACTTCAAAAAAAAGGGGCTTGTCATGATGATCTACTTAGGCTTCCAAGGACTCGTCCTTATTTAATAAATGTTTTTATGTTTGTTCGTAATTTTTTTGGAATCTAAGTCTACTAAGTTGAGATATTGGTACGCATTTCTGTACCTTAGTGCATTAATGTCTACAGGTATTTGGAGTCAATTAAATTTTTAATTTTTTATGTTAGTTTTCTCAAACTTTGCAAATTTTCATCAAAAGCAACTGCCACCCTGCGTGGCAGTCTATAAAATTCCACCATGAAATATCACCACGTCTGTCGTTCCATAGCTGAGCGTTTTTTAGCCACTTTTTAAGGCCGCGGAATGTGAGAACGCACTTGCGAGCCTTCTGGCCGTGTAAGTGTCAATGGCGAATGCTACACGCTCGATATTTATCGTGATATTTGGATCGTAATCCAGAATTACGATGTGCAGTACAGGCGTATTACGTATCGTGATACGGATCGCTGGATTTCTAGAAATCTAAAAATCCACGATCTGTATCAATTATCGTCGATAAATATCGAGCGTCTAGTGTCTGGTCGATATTAATCGCGTCACTATTAATTCTGCCAGCGATGGAAGAGGATGCGCATATATAGAGGCGGAATAATATAGAGAATTCATATAAAGAATTCATACTTGTATTAGAAACATTACCTGAAGTATGGGACAGCTCAAATGCATACTAGGCAAACTACAGAAAATAATTTAAAAAATAACAGATTTGAAGCGATCTGGTGCTGCAGCGGAAAATGTTTACAATCGTTAAAGTCTTGGATATTTATATATATCAGCATATGCTGATAATAATAAGAATAATAAAAATGGCAACGCAAGCTTTCTTAATATTGTTACTCATTATTGTAACACGAAACGTACGAATGTACTCAATGAAATTTACCGTCGTACTGACGCGATTCGTATTGAATGTGTAGTATACCAAAAAAATACTAGATAAACATCTCAATAAATATCACGATAAATATCGAGCGTGTAGCATTCGCCCATGGGCGGCGATATCGTATATCCTGCTCTATATAAAACTTAAAAAAAAGTACAAGGTGACTTATAAATATAGACATGAGATTCAACAACTCGTAACTATAACTGATTGTTATGTTCGAATAACTTTGCAACAAAGAAAACTTTCGGGCCCAAGATTTAGTAGCTCCTTTCATCAAGTATCAACACAGTGAGCTCGCAACCTACTTTGTAATTGTGGACCAACTTGTTAGCAAGCTTTATACGACTCTATACTATACTAAACTCAAAGTGCAAGCTTCTTGAAAATGTTCCTGAATTATTTTGAAAATGTATGTCTCAGGCACTACACAAAGGAAACCCATTTGAGGACCGCGGTCATAAAATATTCTTTTATCTGCACTAATAATATAAAGCAGAGATTTTAGTATATAGAACGGACATTAGGAAAATACGATCTCTGATCCAATTTCCAAGTAGCGGTAGTATTTTTAGACAGTGAACGAATATAATTTAATTGTTTGAAGTAGAATATAATTATTTTATTTAGGTTTTGCTTTATTGGGTATATTATATTCTTCATACTATAAAGCTCTCTTTGTTACGAAAAATATCAAGAATTACCGATTTTGAAAACTAATTAAATTAAAAAAAACAAAACACGACTCTTAATATATTTATTTGACACAGAACACAATGTAAAATGTTGTCGCAAATTTTATTAACACTTATAAATTACAAATGAGAAATAACTAGAAGTTGCTTAATTTTAGTAAGATACACGACATACTACGAAACGATGATAAAACGACAATCCAATACAAAATGGTTTTACAATGTTCCGTCCGCGGCCTCTATATCGCATACAAAAAAGTATAGCAAACTGCTATAATATATTTTCAGAACATAATTCCATAAAACGATGCAAAAAAATATAAGTATAGAATAATAATAGCATATTTTGTCACTCCTTTTCATTCTTAGTAATCCATTCTAATTGTTATCTTCCAAGTCCTGTAATTCAAATTAATAACTGTCAATAAATATATCTTACGACATTTATATTTCTCCTTATTTTGTGTCTAGATGCCTTCTTACATAATATAAATGTTTTTTGTTTTAAAAACAATTGCTATAATTTATATTAAAAAGAATTAATTATACATGTGAAATACTTACAGTGGGATCGCAATCGGCACAGTGCCAAGAGTATCCGCGCTTTTTAGGGTTCTTGTTCAAGGGCGGCTCCAGACAGGTGAAGTGATACCGCTTCTGGCACTCATCACACCTGTACACACAAATACAATTTTTTACCGAGCTTCATTTGTTTTTTCCCATAGTAACTAAAATACTGTATTAAATTAAAGACTTGTTACCATTTTTCTTTAGATGCACCTTCTCAAGCAATGTACTCAATTAAAGACAATTTGACAGTAGAAAAGAAGGACTATTCTAGTTTAAAAAAAAACAAAATTTTATTTAAAAAAAAATTGTGGTAATAAAACTAATTTAATTCAGTATTTTAGTTAATGTATTCGCGTGCCAACCTAACCAAAGACATTTTAACATCTACTACGTGATTACAGGTTGACAATTAAACTGCAATTAAATCCTGTTGTGGTTTAAATGCTTTATAAAATAGACAATATTCACAAAATAATATTGCCACTGATTTAATTACATTAAATTACTTGACTTTACCTACATTGCGTAGATACAATATTTAAGTGTTTATTAGTAATTGTTAGTTTTGTTTAGTTAGTGTCGGATTATTGTATACAAATTAATTATAACAGCCTTATTTTTCCACAGATATATAATTCTTTACGAACACTAGGCATTTAGAAATAGAACCGGACGTAAAAAAAGACCTAGGCAAAATAAAGCTTTTGTTACAAGGATGAATATTCAACTCCATTATTCGCTGAAAAAATCTGTGTGGGACCCGTCGGACAAATACGTAAAAATTTCACCTAGAGGAAGAACAAAAAAAAAAAAAAAAAAGGGAACCTCCCGACCCCAACATTGATAACAGTTCCACAGTTCGATAACCGGCGATAATTGCTTTGGGTTGATGACATACAAGGCTATGATAATTGTAATGAAACAGACAAAAAAAAGTGTTACACATGTTCTATACAAATTCTTCGCATAAGTAGCGCGAATTCGTCAAAAAGGTTTTTTTGAAGTGAAACTTCTTTATCGAGGTTGGAAAAAAATTTCGTGTAACATTTTTTCGTTACGCGTCACATTTTTCGGTTACGCGCCATGTTGCTTTTTGAAGTCAAACTTCTTTATCGGCGTTGGAATGAAACTTCTTTATCGACGTATGGGAGAAATTTTGTAAGCAAATCGTCACGTTTTTCAATGATAGTAATAATTCTATTACAATTAATGAAATTCTATAATAATCTTCGTAGTAATAAGGTTATATGAAATATTTGTATTCATGTCTATGATAATAAAAGCCTTTTGTTAAACTTTATCTAATTTAACGAATTTCTGTAAAGTTGCATATAGTAGATCATTTTTCGAAAAATAAGATCATAAAGAAGTTTCACTTCGACGTGTGTACACCTAGTACACGCACAATATTTTTTTTAATTGTTACCAATGTTCAATGTTGTTTAGAAACATATTATTTTAAATAAACAGCCTTGACATAATACAGGCCTACAAAGCAAATACATAAACATAAAAAGATTATAAATCCAAACAAGTGTTAAGATAAGTAGCAACGTAACGCGGTTAACGCACGTGACTGATTCAATATACACATAATAGATTGTCAAAGTGCATAGTGTTGACAAAATTTATTTTCAGTGACAAAAAAGAAGTGAAGAAGCGGAAAAACAAAAATAATATTACAAATGGAAGATGACTGAGACTGGACTGGGCTAAAAGGTCAAAGAAACAAGGACATACGCGGATATATAGAGCGATACGCCGACGCGATTTAAAGGCTGGCAAAAATTTCATGTTGACAGCAAAAGATATAAATTTAGAGGGCGTCTTTCGGTAGGGTCGCATCTTGGAATAACAAAATTGTATATCTTTCTATATATATATATATTATGTATAAATAAATGCATATTATTATGTTAACCACGTGTTAAATTGTAAATTTGTTCCAACATTTGAGCAATATCACAAACGATACGTAGAATCGATGTGCTATCGTAAAAGGAAAACAATAGATGTATTCATGGAAAATTTCGAAGCGATTTGCGGGCTTATTTGGAACCAAATAGAATACGTATAAAACTATACAAATTATATGGAAAGTCGAACTGTCAAAATCTGAATCGTAACCAAAAATATACAGGACGACTATAGTAAAATTCTTGCTAAGGCCTCTGCTAGTGCGCATAGCACATTTTTATGTGTGTAAATTTAATGTAATAAATTTAGACACCAACCTTACTAGATCCGTATTATCCCCGGCCTGTTGACATACGTCACACTGAGTCAGAGGCGTAAGAGCTGCTACGGGCACGGGCGCGCTACCGCCGCTCCGTCGCACGCGGCTTTCACGAGACCGCTGTTGGACAGGGGTCATGGTTAATAGTAACATATTCAGTAATTAAACTGACATTGAATACCTCACACTACAAATGGTGTACCATATCTCAAACTACGGAGCCGATTCTTATGAAACTTGAACTGTTTCCTAAGGTAACCTTAAATCTTCACTTTATGACTTTTGGTTTCGAGATTTTTTCGGACAAAGATACATATAATATCATAGTCAAATATTATGAAAACAAACAATATCACATGACGTTTGTCAAACTGAGAACCTCTTTTTTAGTTTAAAAATACACTTAAGCTCTAGTAAAGCAGTTTAAAACAAATTAACAACAATAACCATTAAGAACGTTATATTAAGAAAAATTGTATACTTAAATGGCAAGTAGTAATACCATGTGGATAAACATATTTATTACTGTTTAACTTTTTTGAGTCTAATTAATATAAAACTTCTTTAACAGATATATTATATTATTTGCAGTGCGAGTGCGTATAGTATGTGGTTGACTACATTTTCTGCAGAATGAATTAGTTAAGCATTTTAAATGCTTGAAATTTCAATGAAATGTTTCAAGTAACCAAGACTTTGCGCTTAAACTAAAATACTGGAAAAATACTTTACCATCCATAGAATTTTCACAGGAAGTTTTTAATTTTCGAAGATAATTTACTGTTTTCGGTTTATTTAAATCTCTTAACAAGATTTGAGATTCTAAGAAATCCTATAAAATTGTGTGTTTTGTAGTTTTTTAGCAATACGACATTTTATCTACTTCTATTGCATTCTAGATTAAAATGCTAATCACTTCAGTAAAGCATTACCTTTGGTTTTGTACTTGCAACACTCGTTGCTCCCACTGTTTCCTCCGGTTTGCTTGGCAGCTTGCATATATTTCAAAATTTCAAATACTACATACAACTTTCAACTTTGGATTCCCTAACTAATTTTTCGCTCAACAATTTGAAAAGCATGACGAAAACTCCCTGCGATATTATCTCAAGTCGAATGCAAATGTTTGTAAGGTTTTTGCTATTTATTTGATTAGATAAATGTTTGCTATACTTTCACCAGCTAGATTACACTCTTATATATAAATACAAGGGCTATCAATAGTAATCTTTTTTTAACAGAATTTTAATTTTAACCGCAATTAAGTATGAATAGAACCGTTAAAAAAACTGTATTTTATTCCATCGTTAAATCCAAATAATTGATTAACAAAAATGATATAAAATTTGTTAATGTAAATGTGCTTAAATAAATTTTAAATTGAACAAAAAAATATTTTTAAAATCATTTATTTCTTAATCAAATACTATCTTCAGATAAAACTCCACCAGATATGGAAAGCCAACAATTAACTTACAGATGTCGCTAAAGGATCTGGCAAAACGATTGTAGGCGGTATTGGAGCTTCAGGTGTCTCTGGTTCAGCTTGCTGCAATACATTTATTTTGTTAATATGCGCATACGCAAACGGTTTATATTTAGAATATTTTTTTAATAGAACAGGGGGCTAACGGGCAGGAGGCTCATCTGATGTTAAGTGATATGGCCGCCCACGTACACTCTCAATGCCAGAGGGCTGGCGAGTGCGTGACCGGCTTTTTAGGAAAAAGGTGGTACGCTTTCTTGTTGAACGACCCTAAGTCGAATTGAAATGGATATACTTCAGTGGGCAGCTGGTTCCACATACTAATAGTGCGAAGCAAAAACTGCCTCAATTTTACATTGTATTTACAAAACTAGTGTTCCGTAATAAGCATTGAATATTTTAATTATTGAAATATTAATCATAATACCTTGGAGTGTTTTTTCACAGGCGGTGGCGGCGGACCATCATTGCTGTCAGTGGGGACGTAGAACATTTGAGTGTCCAAGGAACCATCTGGCTTTGGGATCGGCTTAATCTGAAAACAAATTATTATTAATATATTGAACATATACTGTTCGTTAACAGTTAGAGGCATATTCTATAACCAAATTATTTGGCCGAAAATAAATGATTACATGTAATACAAGTCCGATGATGCTTTTTTGGCTTTAATGTTTAAGGTCCTCTAAAGGCTGAGACACCAACCACAACTAAATAAACAAACATATATACATGTATTAGATATGTTAAGTCATTAAAAATTCAGAATGTAATAAAAACTGTAATCCTAGTATTAAAGCGTCTACACACGGTCCTAAAATCTGAGGCAATATAGAGGTAGTGGTGGGGCCCCACTACCTCTATATCTACCCTAGATCGCCTCGTGTGTAGGCAAATCGTACCCTAATTTTATTATCAACCCTAACTATACTGCCGATTCGAACTATGAGCCGATTTCATCCCCACCACCATTGCCCGATAACGACAAACCGTCCTTTCTTTAACTAGGTTCGGGCATTTATAAATGTGTTTATAAGTAACGTTTATAAATGAGAATGTTAATGATATTACCTACTATTAAGGTTTCTAGTTTGCCCAACAGATTAAATTTTTATTGAAGTTCAATTTTTTTTTTTTACTTAACACCTGCACTAATCAATAATTCAAAAAAGTGAATACAGGCCTTAAGAAAAAGAAGATCGTTTAAGTGAAGAAATTTAGACTACTTTGGATAATACTTTTCAATGGAACGAAATATTTACCTTAATTGTAATCCTCGGATGCGGTTGTTCAGGATTTTCCATATCTTGAGTCTTCTTCTTCCGCTTGTGTTTATGTGACTTAGACGGAGAGCGTAAGAGATCTGGCGAATATCTCGACCTGTGCTTTTCCTTTCTACGCTTCCTATTCGCTTTGAAATTAGCTATATCCGACGATAAATTTGCGAGCGTACTCTCAATAGAACTTTCAATGGCCTTAGAGTCTCTCTCTTTCGAATCGTTGAGTAATGCTGAGAAAGATAGATTCTGGTACGTCTCGTCTTTTTTTGGTGGCGGCAAATTCGCCGACTCGTTTGAGTGCTCATTGTGGGAATCATACGGGCTGTCCGCTACGAGTGGCGTGATCGACATTAAGGGCGTGTTCGTTAGTATGGGCGATGTGAAACTACGCTTATGAATTTTCTTGATATCTTCAGAATATTCCTTTTTAGAATTTCTCTTCTTTTTGCTTTTCACTTCTTCGTTTCCATCACTACTGAATTCGAAAGGTTTTATGGTCACTTTAATAGGCGATATATTTTCAGTTTTTGGTTTTTCTTTGTGTTTTTCAGATTTTTGTTTGGGTGATGGTGAACTAGGTTTGGAGTTGGGACTGTGTGGTTCTGTTATAATTGCCCCGTCTTTGCTGTACCGAATACGTGATCTACGTGGTACTTTCTTTTCTAATACCTCAGGTTCCGAATCAGATGTTTTGTCGCATTCTGAGCATTGCCTAAAAAGGTAGATAAAGATTATAATCTTAATATTTGTTAAGTTATTAATTATTACATATCTAATTGTCTACAGAGTAAAATTCATAATAAGTGATAGGTGTATGAATTTGATAGTATAGACATACAGACACACAGAACCAATACAATGGTTTTGATGAAACAAAGAGCCTCTCGTATACACATATAGCATCCAAATCTTAACTTATATTAAGGGATTTAAGACTTTTCTTATATGATCAGCCTCATTATGTTCCAAATAAAATACTATTTCGTTAGTAGGAGAGGAAGGACAACTAGGTATTTTTGGGATAGTGAAATATGGTCATTGGTGATTATTATTATGCTTACCATCCATAAAGCTTGCTCTTCTTGGGCGGTCGCTGCAGCGGCGGCCTCAAGCAGTGCAAGTGGTAATGGTGATGGCAGGTATCGCAGGCAGCCATCAGGTGCTGCTCGCTGCTACGCGCGCACACCGCGCACTCGCGGGCCGCCACGCCTGTGTCGGACATGCAGGAAGCTACGCATTACATACATATTTTAATAAAAAATCGTAACTTTCCCTTTATAAATAAAAAACCTACATCTTTGCTGACCATTTTCATTCATAGATGACTAATTCTTTTATGTTTGCTGATGCTAGCTTTTTTTTAAACCAGTCACGTGACTGTATACTTTAATGTACGCGAAACAGCTCTCAATTTTTATATGTAAATAAATATGTATGAAATTGTTTAAAAACCTAATAAAATAATAATTTATTTTCTATTTTTTTTTTCTTACCGTATATTTCATAAACATTATCATATTATCAAAGAGTATTAAACATAATTATATAATAAAAAATATATAGCTGTTTTATAATATAAAAATATAATATAATAATGTTTTTATGAGTGAAAGCTATACCTTGTAGCGACGTCGAAAGCACTTTCCCATGGCGAGCGTCCGGATTGTCGCTAAGAGGAAAACCAACGCCCATCTTAAGTGCAGCCGCAGTTGGCACAGACATTGACCTGCTACCCAACCTTGTTTACAGTAAGGAGAATGTCTATGGTCACCCCCTCTTATATTAACCATTCATACGAAACATTTCTTTATTTAACATTGTGCGTAATTTTATTTAAAAGTATATTCTATTGTAAGTGATAATATTTTTTATTTTATTATATTAGAATTTCACTTATTACATTTAGAATAGAAGTACTTCTAAATATAATTGCTTTTTGAAGTGAAAACTTCTTTAGCGGCGTTGTACACTTTTTTTGGAATGGGTAAAAAATATTAAACTCGCGTCAGGACAAGTGACCTGATCGAAAATTCGTAAGACGGATGGAGATTTGACAGCTGGCGCGGCGTATTTAATGTAATATAAATTGTCATGTTTGTGTACGATAGCGCAATAAATAAATATTGTATTCGACCACATAAATGATAGTACTTTTATACTGATAATTAAAGCAATTCGTGCAAAATTATTCCCTAACCATTCCAAAATATCAAAAATGCACAACGTTAATATTCAAGTTTTCACTTCTGCCGGCACTCCCGGAGTGCAACCCTACAACCTAGTTTTTTTATACCATATAGTAACTAGAATTATATACAATATGCAAAAGTAAATACAAATTACTTGGGCATTCGTAACTATATGGTTACCAAATGTCTAACATAACACACGCACGTATTCATTACGTGTGTCTATGTAGACTATGTGTCGGGAGTGAAAAGAAGCTCCTGTCTAAGCATTCTAAGCTATCCAAAAAATTTTCAGCAAAAAAATATTTTTTTAAAGCCAAAGATGGCGCTTGCTATTAACGGAAATTTGCAAAGTAATGTTTCAGTATTAACTCTCTCGCAGTAAACAGTCTAACTATCGTTAATAAATTGAATAGTTTAGTGCGCTCACTCGATATCTTCAACAGTTTTCTAAATCGTGACTAAGTTTCCGTACCATGTTAGTCCAAGTTATTGAAATTTCTAATCCACTTTAATTTAATTGTAAATATTGTCACTTTTTTAGAGTGCCTATAGCAAATCGGTTTACAGAGTAACCCTGCTGGCTTAAATAATGATTTGCATAGACATTTTTAAACATATATCATACCGTTTCTGCAACTGTTGTGGTGTGACCTTAGGCGTTGAGCGATGTATTATAGGCGGAATTAACGGCTTATGTTCCAGGAAACTGGTAGTAGATGGCGGTATCTTTATGTTCGGGCAGATTACTAATAACGAGTCGTATAGCTTTTGCAGGCTTTGACGGGTACTGTAGAGGCTTTCGAGGGTTTCCGTGTTCTCATTTGTTGCCTGGAAATTTAGTGAAATATTTAAAATTTATTTGCTACTCTATTGTTATTATTATTAGGGCATTTTAAGATATTAAAAGCAATTGTTTTTATAATTCCAATCATAAATACTTTTTTATATTCATATAAAAAATTAGTGACACTACATCCCTTAGGCTTCAGAGTTCTGTCTGTTTTGAGATATTTTCTATTTTATATCGACAAGCCTTCTTTTCTGACACACGTCGTCGACATTTTGGATCAAATCCATGCCGGTTTCTTCACGATGTTTTCCTTCACCGTACGAGCGTTAAATGCGCATATAGAAAAAAGTCCATTGGTGCCGGGATTTTAACTTTCTACATTTGAGATAAGCTAAAGCTAACACTGTTTAATCTTCATAAATGTAGACAAAGAAATTTTAAATAAAATAAATTTGTATGATCGCAGTGATAATAATGATTTAAAAATAGGTTTATTTAAAGAAAAAACTTTTTAACCGGATTAAAGTTGTATAATTATAAATTTACAATTATTTAACATAATTTTAAATTTATCCGACGTTTCGCGTGCTTTACAGCGTGCGTGGTCACGGTGACTTGTCATGTCAATAAAAGACAATACAATATGTTTATTTATTAAATATTTAAAAAAATTACCTCATCATAATCCGTCCGTAGCGTTTCGTTATTACCGAGAAGCGTTTCGTTCTCCTTCGTGAGCCTCTCCAAAGATCGCCTTAGAGATGATACTCTCGTATTCCTTTCTAAATAGTAGCCGACAAACTCCACAGAAAATGCTGGAGGCACATGCCAGCGACGCGATACATCTTTCAGCGCTGCCATCTAGATAATAGTTTTAATTAATCTCCAATAGCTACTGAATGTTAGGGTAACAGACGAGACTTAGAGCAAAGTAACGTCCCGTACGACAAAACCATATTAGATTTTTTCATACTTGTCATAAGTTGCTCTAAGGACCGTATTTTTAATGATTTTAATGAATAATATTAATTTTTCTTTGTTTTTTCTTTTCTTTGATTCTGACATCCCCCATTCGGCGCACATGTGTTGCATTTTATGAATTTGACGATGATGGCGTCGTCCAGGATGTTATTATGTTCCTCATTGAAGAGCAACGTCAAATAACATCGTCGCATTTATTATTGATTAATAATTTCTATAAAACTAATTATTATAAAAAAGTTTTTAATAAATCGAACTTACCTGCGCATCTTGGAACTCGAGAGCATGCGTATCAATGCCCATACATTCAGCTTTGCGTTTGAACTTCCTCATGGCGGATGCACTGCTGTACAACATACGAGCCATTTTCTGAGTTGGTACTGAAATATATCATGTATATTTTAATCAACGCAATAGTTCATGGACACTCTATGCGTTATAGTTAATTAAAGATAAAGATTATTGAAAAAAATCTCCTACTATATAAGTAGGAGATTTTTTAAGTAATAAATAAAATTATTAGGGACATTTGAACGAAGCGGGTTAATTTGAACTAAGTGATAACAGCAGCCTATGAACACCTGCAACGCCGGGGGCTAGTGGGTGTGCTGCCGACCTTTGCGTAAAGGTACCAAATTTACATTTAATGACAAGTTAAAAAATCAGAAACGTGAAAAATCAGAAACTGGAAATCTACTACACTAATTTAAACAATAATAAAAAATAATTATTTTATGCATCATAAAAATTGAGCTTAATATTACATGCTTTAGAGTTCAAAACGTTTCAAAACCAAATTTAAAACACAAATCTGTTTTAGTTCGTTTAACACACGTACATTTATTGCTTTATAGTTCTTACAATGGACAACAATTCTACGTCCAATGGAGAAAAAGAGTCGCCCTATAATTGGTGATGGTATTTAAATGACATAAACTGTAAAAACCATAATACTAACCCCAGGGTGGATGTCTATTCTCCTTTTGTTGTGCATACTTCCTTCTATACTTAACGAGTTTTCTTTGAATCCTTAATTTAGCCTCAGTACTCAATTTCTGTTGTAACTCCAACCTCCTGAAGACGGGAGAGTTATAGTATTTTAGACTTTCGTTAAGAAGTCGAAGAAACAACACAAATACTAATGCACATAGTCAAAAACTAAACAAATTTTAAGTCATAAAACTACACCTTCCGTCTCTTTCTATCAAATTGTGTTTACACTATGATGAAAAGAGACAGATAAGTACTATTAAGTTAAAACGGTGGGATTAGATTGATCGATGTATTTTAATAGAGAGAACATAGACACCATATAAAATCAAATCCTTAGACACACTCTATTCAATATAGATATTTAACCATTTCTCAATTTTTACACTATACATTGATATATGTGTTTTGATGTCATTTTTGTTTCGTTATATATTGAAAATATTCAAATATTAAATATACCTTTTCTCAGTTCTCAACTGCAAAGCGAGCCAATTGCGCTTTCTCTTCTTGACCAACGTTTTATCGGAATGTAGACGACAATGTGCGTAAAACGGATCTGCTTGTTCCACTTCTTCTGAATGTGCCTCGGCCAGTAAACCGGCGCGTTGACCGCTAAAAATTTCATAATGTATACCTCATTTATATCCCAAACAATATCACGAAATAAGTAAAAAAACAGAGAAAGGATGTAAATATGCGGTAATACTAAGAGCAGCGCCTGTACTCTTTAACTTCCAGTAGCGACTCCGACATTTTTGTATGCAAGTTCGATGTAGTTCTCTCAATACCCGGAGCGCTAATGTCGCAACCTTGGAAACGCGCAGAACAAAAACTCATTTTTGGAATCACCTATTGCTATTGGAATAAGAATAGAATTGGTTTGTTCCAGAAACCCCAGACAAGTAAATATACTTTAATGTTAGTCAATAATTTATTTATGGAAAATAATTGACACAATTCGATGATTTTAATAATTTAATTACAAAAATTATTTCAAAGAATAATTTCATCAATGGCATGAGGCATCTCTTCTAAGCAATCCGGTAACCTGTGATACACGAGAGCTATAACATATTGTTATTACGCAAAAAACATGTCTTTTCTATAGTTTTCGAAATATCAAAACTGCATCCACAAATTAATACAAGGAATATGCATGACATGTCACTAAATCTTTAAAGCATTATTTAGATTACAGCTTTCTGAGATTGAAAAACAAACTTTTAGTTTCGTAAAAAATATTTTCACTTACCAAGTGACATGAAAGAATGTCTTGCAAAGTCCGGCATCACATTCTACGCACACGCCCGTTCTAGCGAGCGTCGAGTCGTCACATAAGGCGCAGCTACGAGCACCCCAACGAGAGTATGCCATTTCAAATAACGTCACCCCAGATAATTTTTCCACCTGAAAATAATATTAGAACTTTAAGTGGTCTTGAACTACCAAAATGAGGCAGTAAATACTTAGGTTAGTTAGAGCAGCTTACTCCAGTCCCAACATTAATATTATTTTTTACCACACAAAACAAGCACAGTTATAATAAATTTTGAATTTATTATTGAAAGATTAAAATTAACATCTAATTTACACACAAATTTTTATACATATAAACAGATTAAATAATACCTCCGAAAATGCTACTCCAGGAACATATAGAGCACACACCAGATGGACCCAGGCACCTACTTCAGTTTCTTTGAATATTCCACCTGAAATATTAGTTTGATGTTTATGTATTATAGACTACAAGCCCATGGAAAAAAAATACCTGTGTAATGAAACAACGTGAATAACGCTTAGAAGGCTGTTACTATATCAGAAAATAACTCTGAGAACTATGTCGTCATTTTTGAGCAGTACATGTGAGTATGTGAATGAATGGAATTTCTCAGGTACAAATGAGGAATTACGACTCATTATTAATGTAAGTACGGCTTTTTTATAGTATATAGATGATTAAAAATAAATGTTCAAAAACCTAGTGCCATACTAAAGTGGTGGTGCCGGAAGTCAGTGCAAATTTTTAATTCGACGATAATTGCAGAAGCAATATAGGTCATTTATTATTGTATGGCATTTGTGTAATTCCTTTTGTACACATATACAGATACTTTACCCGTAAACGCCGTACATATTTCCAGCGGAGCGGTCGAAAGCCAAGGGTCGCAACATATCTCTGATTTGAATATAGGTGATGATGATATCGAACAACATAAAATGAAATTATCTTGAGAGTACTTCACAAATAGATAATATTTTCCAGCATGCCGTATGGGCTAGTCTATTACTCACTTTACTGAGTACATAATTACAGTCCTCATCAATATATTCAAAACTCAGAAAAAATAATTTATTAAAATGTAATCACAAAAATAGATAATTACCTTTATTTGGGCATAGTTCACAACTAGGATCGGTAACTCCAGCTTTACAAGCCTCACAAAACCAGGGCTCAGTTGATGCTGAACTCACAGTACTTGATTCACTTGTCACATCCGAAACACCATAGCAACCTATAAATTAATAAATAAATGTCTATTTAAAAAAAATATGTCAAGCTTTAAGGATATAAATATTTTGTTTTAGTATATTATTAAGTAATCATAAAAGTTTTTTAAATATAAACAAGTAAATGACATGTAAACTTAAATTAACACGGAAAATAAAGACTCTTTTCTTATTAAATCAAAGATAGATATCAAGTTTGCTTAGTAACTATGTCTAATTTCATGACAAAAATAGTCCTATCTTTTACAATAGACCACAAAAGAAGTATCAGTCTCTATAGAGACTCTCTTCTCTTCTATAAAAGAGACCTCTTTATTTTAAAATCTTATCACCTTCATGCACAGTAACACCACAGCCATCACATTCAACTATTTCATTGAAATCATCACTTCTTGACCCCAAGCAACCTGCACATATCATCATGCTGGCCAAATCAGGAACCTGAAAATTGTGTACATCATTATTGACAAATAGGTAAATTAGTGATGCAATTTAAAATATTTATTATTCCACCAAGCATAGCACCCATTACCTCTAGATAGAATATAGACTCTAACAGCAATAAACTGCTAAGTCTAGATGCCCTAAGCTATAAATATATACTTACATTAAATTCTTTCTTAGCTTTCTCAAGCAAATCTGTAACAGAGACCTCTTCACCCAACTTAGGTACTGGGTTTTTAAATTCATTTTCAATATCTGATCCTGATTCTTCATCTGAACTACTACTGTTTGCACCATTTTCTAAAAATATAAACGCCTTGTATTTATTTTCTCTAAATTACTAATAAAAGGAGAAAAAAGATAATTACTTCTTCCATCGTCGTCAGAGTTTATGGAATAATCGTCGCTGTCCTCAGGGTGGTCTTCTATTCGAAAATCAGAATCATCTGAACTTTCACCTTCCCCAAGATCAAAATCTAACAAGGATTGCGGCTCCGCCGGCTTAACCTTACGTTTTGCAAGAACTCTGCCTTCTGTAAAACAATAAGGACCTTTAAAAATTTTAATGATCATAACTTAACTTTGTAAAGTACTGTGATAACTTACGATTATTCATAATGACATATTAATTATTCTAAGTTAATATAGATAATGTACTTATAATCTGATGAAATTCATAATAAATCGATTAATTATATTATTTATAAAAAAAATATTTTCTATGATGCTTTCAAGTTTCAAGTTTAATTTGACATTTCTGACAATGACTATTGACATTTGATAGTTGACACAAGTCATAGAATTAAAAAAAGGATTTTAATTTCTATATTCAATCCTTCATTTTTCAATATGAGAAAACATAGAATCCAGGCTTTTTATTGAAATAATATATTGACTGGTTTAACAGAATAATTACTTATCACCTATGCTTCATGTTGTGTATATGTTTGATTTTATCATTACATGACATACAAACGCATAAACTTGTAATTATAGATATAGGGTAAAAAATATGATAGTCGGACTAATATGGATTTATTTATGGATTAGGAAAATAAAAACAAACCATTTTTATTTAATAACTCATTGCCTTTAAACATAAAGCCGCTGTATACTAGCCTGCATATTTTGTTTGTAATCCATTATTTTGAACACTGAATTTATATATTCTAACGGTGTTAAATCTATAAGTAAAAAGTAAATGGATAACTTAGCACTTGAAATATAATATTTGTACAGTGTGACATAAAAGAGTAGAAATTGATTATTTTTGAAGTTAAACTTCTTTAGGCGCGTTATGAAAAATTTATGAGAGTGAAATTTTACGATGCGCGCGCACCGTGACACAAAATTATCAGTATGGGCGCCGAGCGTGCGCGAGCGAGATGGGAATAAGACAATCTACAAGTAAAATGAAATAGAATATGCGTGACGTTAGCAGCTATGCCAAGAATTTTGAATGACCATAATGACATTTGTAGTACCTTTTAAACAAATAAAGGAGTTTTAATTATTTTTTCAAAGAAATTTAGCAATGCTTTTTTACAAAGACCTATTAGTTAAAAGGTTATGAAACATACCTAGTAATTAAATTGAATTAATAATAGCATAAATAATAAGGACCTAAGTCCTTACATATGAAATTGGCGTTTTGTATGGGAGGAACAAAAAGTCGAATATTTTTAAATATAATATATTTAATTAATCAAAGTATGAACCATTGTTTTCTATGCACTTTTGCCATCTCATAGGTAGTTCATTGATCCCTTTACTAAAAAAACCAGTCGGACGGGAATCAATAAAATCAGTGAAGGCGATTTGGACTGCCCCATCAAAGTTAAATTTTTTCCCTTGCAAGAAGTTGTCCAAATTTCGAAAAAAAATGGTAATCTGTT